ATACCAGGAACACAAACAATTCAATAGTAAGTGGTATGGTTTGGATGTGGTTTGACTATGTACCCCAGTTTCATTTGAACTGAAGTGCTAGAACTTTTGAAGAATTACATCCTGGTGGAAAATTGATTAGATCATGAGTTGCCTTAAGAGAGCTGAAATAGCCAAACTTGTTTTGTAACAACTCACTCTTGGAAGAACTAGCTTGCTATATGAAATCAATATTAATCTCTCTTGATGATGGTAACCCATGACAATATAGCCAAAGGAATTTTATAAAGTATGTCAAAGATGCTGTGCTTCTATATTAATTTTAACATTATTTGTAAGAACTAAGAAATGGACACAAATGAAGTACTCATTGTCAGTTGAGTGGATGTAGAACATGCGGTGTACATATGAAATGGGGTAATATACAGTCTTACAGAAGAAAGAAATTTGATCTTTCAGGACAATATGGATAGAACTGAAGGAATTATTCAGCATTAAATAAGCCAGACATATACAAGAAGGCTAATACCATATGATTTTCTTTATTTGTGGAATCTAACAAAGTTGACCTCATAGAAACATGGAACATACAACAAAGGCTATGTGGGGATATGTTATGATGAAAGGGAAGATGTTGCTCAAAGGTATAAATTCTTAGATTTGAAGAACAAGGTGTGTGTGCGCGCGCAAGCGCAGGACTGACTTGATGTCAGATATCTTCCTTGATCATGTTTTACTTTGTGTATTTATTTTTAAATATTTATTTGTGTAGGAGTGTTCTGTCTCTGTCTAGTTACTCTTTAATCACTATAATAAAAACAATCATGACAATGACAGCAACTTATAAAAGAAAGTGCTTAATTTGGACTTATAGTTTCAGAGGGTTAGAGTCCATGATGGCAGAGCAAAAGCATGATGGCAGGATTAGCTGAGAGCATACATCTTGATCCAAATGTAGGAGGCAAAGAGAGACACTATGAATGTTGTGAATCTTTTTGTTTTGTTTTGTTTTGTTTTTCGAGACAGGGCTTCTCTTTGTAGTTTTGGTGCCTGTCCTGGATCTCGCTCTGTAGACCAGGCTGGCCTCTAACTCACAGAGATCTGCCTGGCTCTGCCTCCCAAGTACTGGGATTAAAGGCATGTGCCACCACTGCCAGGCGAATGTTGTGAATCTTTTGAAACCTCAAAACCCCACTGACACACTTTCAGTAAGGCCTACCTCCTAATCCATCCCAAAATTTCCACCTACAGAGGACCAAGTATTGAAGTGTATGAACCTACATTCTTGTCATTCTCATTCAAGCCACCATAGCCTTCATATATGTAACTGGAGTTATAAGGAGTTGTAGGCCACTCTGTGGGTACTGGGAACCAAACCCAGATCCTCTGCAAGAGCACCCAGCCACATAACCTTTGACCTACAGTTTGTCCTGTCTACACAATGTGCTGGGGTAGATGGGGTGCAGAAGTTGTGGGAGTGGCCAACTAATGACTGCTCCAGCCCAAGACCAATGCCATGAGAAGGAGCCCACCCCTGACACTGCCTGGAGGGTTAAGACCCAGAGGCTGAACAGCCCAGAGACCTAGGATAGAACCAAACACAGCTGGAAAAAAAGGAAGATGAAGTCAGTGGTCAATGTAATGATTTCTAAAGATATTCTGCTATACTCATAGACCAGTGCCTAGCCCAGTTGTCATCATAGAGGTGTCAACCAGCAACTGATGGAAACAGATGCAGAGACCCACAGCCAGACATTAGGCTTGTGCCTTGTACTCAGGGAATCCAGCTTGTACATTCTTACACACAGAGTTTATGACAACCATTTCAATCCTGGAAAATAATTCACTTCAACCCTGGAAAGTAATTCTCTTGACAAAATGATCCTAACTACAGACCCTAATATTACCAATTTAATTCATGTAATTTATGGCTTTTATTAACAAAAACAGTTCTTTACCACAGTAGTCACACATGAATCAGGAGCTTCCCTTCACCATAAAAGCCAGTATTACTAATTCATTATCTGTAAAACATTAATTCTAAAGGTTGTTTAACTGTTTTTTTTTTTTAATGTCTGTTTGTGCTTTTCTCTCATTTTTCTAGAAAACTTAATTTTTTCTCCTGGTTGTTCCACAGTCCCCTGCTGTGTTTTTTTTTCCCTGGCCAATGCACTGATTTGTTGTAGTGAGTCTGTAGTTAAAAACAGATTAATTCTAACCCAGCACACAAAAAGAAAAATCCATCAACCTCGCCTCTGTACCGCATGGTCAAAATAAGCGACTCTGACCAATTATGTGCTCATTTTCTTTCAGTTCCTAGGAAAGTGAAAGCTACTTTAAGAATTAATCTCGCTTATCTTGTTTGCCTTTGCTTTCCCAGTTGGTAGATAGTATACTTAGCAAACGTTGCTTTGTACAGAGGATCACCTAAGCTTTGTAGCAGTCCTAATATAAATGAAAAAAATATCAGTTATTTGACTAAGCTTCTAAACCAAGTTTTTAGAAAAAATATAAAAGGTAAAAATATTTTGTCTAGTTTTTGCCCTTATTACCATTTAGAAAGAGAGATATCTGCATAGCTATGTTTATTGATACTATATGCACAGTAGCAAAATTATGGAATCAGCCTAAGTATCTATTAGCAGATGAATAGATAAAGAAAACATCATACATATATGCAATAGTTTATTACTTAGTCATAAAGAAAAAATAATGCCATTTGCAAGACTACTGATGGAACTAGAGGACATCATGCTAATTGGAATAAGCTAAACAGAAAAAGACAAGTATTACATGTTTTCTCTCATATGTGGAAACAAACAAGACATCTTGACATTAGAAAAGGGCCTATCAAGGAATGGGAAGACAGCTGGGAGGAGAAAAAGAGATGAGAGACAGTAGAAGAAAAGGTACATATAATTAAAGCACAATATGAACATATATAGAAATGTCACAGTGAAATCCATTAATCTGTACACAAAAAAGGTGTTCATACTTTTTAAAATGAATACACTAAATTTGATGTACTTCTGGGGTAGGCATCAGGTTAGAATTGTGGAACAGATATAAAGGTATTCTCTGTGATGTTTTGGTGACTGAAACCATATGAGTGAGTTGAAGGAAAAAAAGAAAAGATGCTGAAGGGAGGCATATTAGACAAAACCATGAGAAAAGAAGCAACTTTGAGGAAGTAATATCAGCAATTTAAATCAAAGAAAGATGCTTAATTAGATAAGAAATAAAAATGCCCAATTAAGTTTTATAAAAAGAAGAAAAGTGTCACCACAGTATAACAGTAGCACACAGACTAAATCAATGGAGAACTCACCTCTTAAACACCACTAAGTCTACTAATCCATGAACATGGTGTGTCTTCATTTCTTTAGACACTCTTAATTTCTATCATTAGTGTTTCATGTTTTCAATACATAGATACTTCACATATTTTAGTAGATTTGAAACTAAGCATTAATATTTCAATATTTGGTTCTGCCTTTTCATGTTTTATCTTAATTTTCATAATACAAAATTAAATGTTTACATGCTGACACAATTGATTTTATACCTGAAACTTGATATACTCATTCAGTCTAGGAGCTTTTCATGTAGACACTTGTGGATCTATATATGGACAACAAAGTAATTTAAAAATGGAAATAATTTTCTTTCTTTCTAATTTCATGCCCTTGTGTCTATTGTGTCTTCTTCTGAACTTACATATTGGATAAGATTTCTAATATGCTGTTGAATAGGAGTAGGCATAACAGATATTCTTGTCTCCTCCCTTATGTAGTAAGAAGTATTGTTTCATTAGTAAGTATAATTTTAGATAACTCCTTCCAGTGAAGGATATTAATTCCTATTTCTAGCATGCTGATAGATTATATGTTTTAAATTCTTTCAAATACCTTTTTTCTACATCTATAAATTAACACTTCTTCAGTTTGCAATATGGTTAATTACAGTGATTGGTGTTTGTTGTTGTTGAGTCAATTTTGCCTTTCTGGGGTAAACCTCTTTTAGTCATGATAGACAGTCTTTATTCTACATTGCTGGATTCAATTCGACGGCTTTTAGTAGCTTCCTGCACCAGTGTCCATGAGAGATTGGTTTGTAATTTTTATTTATTATTTTGTTTTTGTCTACATTTAATATCAGGATAAAACAATCCTTGAAACTGAGTCAGAATGTGTATTCTCTGTTTTGTTATCTAGATTATTTATAGCATTTGTCTTACTTTTTAAATGTTTGGTAGGCTTGAAGAGTGGTCCTGGATCTTTCTCTGACAGAAAGTTTATAGGAATAAATACAATTTTAAACTTAGGTTATCTATTCATATAGATATGAATTTCATATAGAATGAATTTTAGTAATTTATATTTTAAGTATTTGCTTATTTGATCCAACTTATCAAATTTATTAACAGTATTGTTTTAAAGTATTTCCTTATCATTTTAAAATTTGTAGGGTCTATAATAATGTTTGTTGTTTCTTTTTTTTCTTTTTTAGAGGAATATGGATTTTTATTCATAGCATTTTATTTATTCGTTATTTTTTATTTATTTTATATCCTGAATGAAGTTCCCCTCCCTCCTCTCCTTCCAGGCCCTCCCTCCACCTGCCCCCCCAATTCACCCCTCCTCTATTTCTGTTCAGAAAAGGACAGGCCTCCCATGAGTATGAACAAAACATGGCATATCAAGTTGTAAGACTAAGCACCTCCCTTTGTCTTAAGGCTGGGCAAGGCAATCCCAGTGTGAGGAATAGGGTCCCAAGAGCCAGTAAGAGTCAGAGACAGCCTCTGCTCCCACTGTTAGGAGTTCCACAAGAAGACTAAGCTACACAACTGTCACATACATGCAGAGGGCTTAGGTCAGTCCCATTCGGGTTCCCTGGTTGTCTGTTCAGTCTCTGTGAGCTCCTGTGAGCCCAGGTTAGTTGTTTCTGTGGGTTTTCTTCTGATGTCCTTGACCCCTCTGGCTCCAACAATCCTTCTTCCCTCTCTTAAACAGAATGTTGAATGTACTAATGTTGAACTGTGAGTCTCTGCATCCGTTCCACCAGTTGCTGAGTGAAGCCTCTGTGATGACTATTGAGCTAGGCACCAATCTGTGAGTATAGCAGAACATCATTAGGCATCATTACATTGACATCTTTTTTCCTCCAGTCATGTTTGGTTCTATCCTAGGTCTTTGGGCAATCCAGGCTCTGGGCCTTGGTGCTCCAGGCAGTCTCAGGGGTGGGCTCACTCTTGTGGCATTGGTCTCAGGCTGGAAAAGTCATTGGTTGGCCACTCCCACACCCATTACCAGCCTTTCTAGCACATGCTGTAGGCAGGAAAGATTGTAGGTTGAAGGTTATGTGGCTGGGTTGGTGTCCCAATTTCTCCACGGAAAGTCTTGCCTGGTCAGAGGAGATGACCAGTTCAGGCTACATATCTGCAATCACTAGGAGTCTTAGCTAGGGTCATTCTTGTACATTCCTGGGAGTTTCCCTTGCACCAGGTTTCTGCCTGACCCTGAAATGCTCCCCTTTTCTAGTTGGCTTTTACAGTAATCTCTCCCCAGCCCACCCCTACTTGATCCCTTATGTTCCCATCTCCACCCACCCCAGTCCACCTGGAAAATCTTTTCTAATTCCCTTTCCCAGGGAGATCCAATTGGCCCTCCTTGTTACCTAACCTCTCTGGGTTTGTGGATTGTAGCATGGTTATCCTTTACTTTATAGCTAACATCCACGTCTTTCTGGGTCTGGGTTACTCCACGCAGGATTTTTTTTTCTTGTTCCATCCATTTGCCTTCACATTTCTTGATGTTATTTTTAACAGCTGAATAATACTCCATTGTGTAAATGTACCACATTGTCTTTATCAATTCTTTAGTCGAGGGACATCTAGGTTGTTTTCAGGTTCTGGCTATTATGAATAAAGCTGCTGTGAACATAGTTGAGCAAGTGTCCTTGTGGTGTGATTGATCATCCTTTGGGTATATGCCCAAGAGTGGTATAGCTGGGTCTTGAGGTACATTGATTCCCAATTTTCTGAGAAACCATATTGATTTCCAAAGTGACTGTACAAGTTTGCACTCCCACCAGCAACGGAGGAGTGTTCCCTTTGCTCCACATCCTCTCCATCATGAGTTGTCACTTGTGTTTCTGACCTTAGGACTCTGACAGGTGTAAGGTGGTGTCTCAGAGTCATCTTGATTTGCATTTCCTTGATGGCTAAGGATGTTGAACATGTCTTTGTTTCTTGGCCATTTTAGATTCTTCTCTTGAGTATTCTGTTTAGATCTGTACCCCATTTTTAATTGGATTATTTGGTTTTTTGATGTCTAGTTTCTGGAGTTCTTTATATATTTTTGAAATTAGCCCTCTGTTGGATGTGGGGTTGGTGAAGATCTTTTCCCATTATGTAGGCTGCCATTTTGTCCTATTGATGGTGTCCTTTTTCTTACAGAAGCGTCTCAGTTTCATGAGGTCCCATTTATTAATTGTTGACCTTAGTGTCTGTACTATTGGTATTCTGTTCAGGAAGTTATCTTCTGTGCCAATGCACTTTCTTTTCTATCAGGTTCAGTGTATCTGATTTTATGTTGAGGTCTTTGATCCACTTGGACTTGAGTTTTGTGCAGGGTGATAGATATGAATCTATTTGCATTCTTCTACATGTTGACATTCAGTTATACCAATACCTTTAGTTGAAAATGCTTTCTTTTTTCCATTGTATACTTTTGACATCTTTGTTGAAATTCAGATGTCCATAGGTGCATGATTTACATCTGGCTCTTTGATTTGATTCCACTGATCCACCTATCTGATTTTATGCCAGTACCATGGGGTTTTTATTACTATAGCCTGTATTAGAGCTTGAAATCTAGGATGGTAGTACCTCTGAAAGTTCTTTCATTGTAAAGTATTGTTTTAGCTATCCTGGGGTTTTTATTTTTCAATGTGAAGTTGAATATTATTCTTTCAAGGTCTGTAAAGAATTGTGTTGAAATATTAATGGGAATTGCATTAAATCTGTAGGTTGCTTTTGGTAAGATGGCCAATCTTACTATGTTAATCTTACCAATCCATGAACATGGGAGATCTCTCCATCTTCTGATATCTTCTTCAATTTCTTTCTTCAAAGATTTGAAGTTCTTATCATACAGGTCTTTTACTTGCATGGTTAGAGTTACACCAAGATATTTTATATGATTTGTAGTTACTGTGAAGGGTGTCGTTTCCCTGAATTCTTTCTCATTCTGTTTATCATTTGTATATAAGAGGGGTACTGTTTTTTTTTAGTTAATCTTGTGTTCCGCCTATTCACTAAAGTTGTTTATCAGCTGTAGGAGTTCTCTAGTAGAATTTTTGGGGTCACTTATGTATACTATCATGTCATCTGCGAATAATGATACATTTACTTCTTTTCTGGTTTGTATCTCCTTGATCTCGTTTAGTCGTCTTACTGCTCTAGCTAGAACTTCAAGTACTGTATTGAATAGATATGGAGAGAGTAGAAAGCCTTGTCTTGTTCCTGATTTTAGTGGAATTGTTTTAAATTTCTCTCCATTTAATTTGATGTTGGCTATTGGCTTGCTATAAATTGCCTTTATTATGTTTAGGTATGTTCTTGTACCCTTGACCTCTCCAAGACATTTATCATGAAGGGGTGTTGGATTTTGTCAAAGGCTTTTTCAGCATCTAATGAGATGATCATGTGTTTTTTTTTTCTTTTAGTTTGTTTATATGGTGTATTACATTGACAGATTTTCATATGTTGAACCATCCCAGCATCTCTGGGATGAAAGCCTACCTGATCATGGTAGATGATCTTTTTGATGTGTTCTTGGACTCAGTTTATAAGTACTTTATTGAGTATTTTTGCATCCTATGATCATGAGGGAGATTGGTCTGTAATTCTTTTTTGTTGAGTCTTTGTATGGTTTGGGTATCAGGGTAACTGTGGCTTCATAAAATAAATTTGGCAATGTGCCTTCTGATACTGTTTTGTGGAATAATTGGAGGAGTATTAGTATCAGCTCTTCTTTGAAGGTCTGTTAGAATTCTGCACTGAAAGCATCTGGCCCTGGTCTTATTTTGGTTGGACAATTTTCAATGACTTTCTATTTCTTTGTGAGTTATAGGTTTATTTAAATTGTTTATATGATCCTGATTTAACTTTGGCAAGTGTTATCTATTGAGAAAATTGTCTATGTCTTTTAGATTTTCCAATTTTATGGAGTATAGGTTTTTGAAGCTTGGCCTAATGATTCTTTGGATATCCTTGGTGTCTGTTGTTATGTCCCCCGTTTTATTTCTGATTTTGTTAATTTGGATAGTCTCTCTCTGTGCTTTAGTTAGTTTGGATAAGGCTTTGTCTATCTTGTTGATTTTCTCAAAGAACCAGTTCTTTGTTTTATTGATTTTTTTGTATTGTCTTCTCTTTTTCTATTTATTGATTCCAGCCCTGAGTTTATTTCCTGCCATCTACTCCTCTTTGGTGTGACTACTTCTTTTTGTTCTAGATCTTTCAGGTATTCTCTTATGTCATTGGTATGAGAATTATCTAATTTCTTTATGCAGGCTATGAACTTTCCTCTTAGCACCAACTTCACCGTGTCTTATAAGTTTGGGTATGTTGTGCATTCATTTTCATTCTAGGAAGTCTTTAATTTCTTTATTTATTTTTTCCTGACCCAGCAGTCATTCAGTAGAGAGTTGTTCGGTTTCCATGAGTTTATAGGCTTTCTGTTGTTGAAGTTCAATTTTAATCCATAATGGTCTGATAGGATACAGGGGGTTATTTCAGTTTTCTTGTATCTGTTGAGACTTGCTTTGTGACCAAGTTTGCAGTCAATTTTGGAGAATGTTCCATGAGCTGCTGAGAAGAAGGTATATTCTTTTGTGTTTGGGTGAAATGTTCTGTAGATATCTGTTAGGTTCATTTGAGTCATAATGTTTGTAAGTTCCATTATTTCTGTTTAGTTTCTGTCTGGCAGACCTGTCCATTGGTAAGAGTGGGCTGTTGAATTCTCCCACTATTAATGTGTGTGGTTTGATGTGAGGTTTATGCTTTAGTAATGTTTCCTTTACAAATGTGGGTACCCTTACATTTGGGGTATAGTTGTTCAGAATTGAGACATCATCTTGGTGGATTTTTCCTTTGATAAGTATGAAATGTCCTTTACCATCTCTTTTGATTAAGTTAGATATTAGGATAGCTACACCCACTTGCTTCTTAGGTCCATTTGATTGGAAAATCTTTTTCCAAACCCTTTATTGTGAGGTAATGTCTATCTTTGATGTTGGAGTATGTTTCTTTTATGCAACAGAAGGTTGGATCCTGTTTTTGTATCCATTCTTCTAGCCTGTGTCCTTATTGGTGAATAGAGTCCATTGATATTGAGAGATATTAATGACCACTGATTATTTGTTCCTGTTATTATGTTGTTGTTGGTGGTGGTGGTGGTCATGGTGTGTGTGTATTTGTGTGTATGTGTGTGTTTCCCTTCTTTTGATTTTGTTGGTGTGAGATTATCTTTTGCCTGTGTTTATGTGGGTGTTGTTAACTTCCTTAGGTTGGTGTTTTCCTTCTAGTACCTCCTACAGAGCTGGATTTGTAGATAGATATTGTTTAAATTTGACTTTGTCATGAAATATCTTGTTTTCTCCATCTATGGTGATTGAAAGTTTTGCTGGGTATATTAATATGGGCTGGTATTGTGGTCTTTTAGAGTCTGCAAGACATCTGTCCAGGCTCTTCTGGCTTTTAGAATCTCTGTTTAGAAGTCAGGTGTAATTCTGTTAGGTCTGCCTTTATATGTTACTTGGCCTTTTTCTCTTGCAGCTTTCAATATTCTTTCTTTGTTCTGTATATTTAGTGTTTTGATTATTATGTGACTCAGGGACTTTCTTTTCTGATCCAATCTATTTGGTGTTCTGTAAACTTCATGTACCTTTATGATCATGTCCTTCTTTAATTTAGGAAAATTTTCTTTTATGATTTTGTTAAATTTTCTGGGTTTTTGATCTAGGATTCTTCTCCTTCCTCTATTCCTATTATGTTACGTTTGGTCTTTTCATGGTGTTCCAGACTTCCTGGATGTTTTATGTTGTGAGTTTTTTGCTCTAACGTTTTCTTTGACTGATGAATCTTTTTCTTTTATTCTATCACCAATGCCTGAGATTCTCTCTTCCATCTCTTGAATTCTGTTGGTGATGCCTGCATCTGTAGTTCTTGTTCACTTACCCAGATTTCCCACTTCCTGATTTCCCTCATTTTGTGTTTTCTTTATTGCTTCTATTTCAATTTTCAGGTCTTGGGTAGTTTCCTTCACCTCTTTGTTTTTCTTTGGCTTTCTTGGAATTCTTTAAGTGATTTATTGATTTCCTCTAATTTTTTTGGTTGTCTTTTCCTCAATTTCTTGAAGGGAGTTTTTCATCTCCTCTTCAAGGACCTCTAACATCCTCATAAAGTTGGTTTTAATACTTTTCTTGTGCTATGTTGGAATATTCAGAGCTTGCTGTAGTGGGATTGCTGGGCTCTGGAGGTGACATATTGCCCTGGCTGCTGTTGTTTGTTTTACACTTACTTTTAGGCATCTGGATTTGAAGTGAGTATAGGTCTAGGTGACATTTTCTGGATTTGTCTTTGTTGGATGGGTGTTTTCTTTCTTAGTTTCTGTTTCCTCTCTGGTCTTCTGGATCCTGTGGCCTGTGGCTGAGTAGAAGGTCTCTACCCTCATTGGGGGCTGGACTTCAGATGATCTGGATGGCCTCTGGTCCAGCAGGGGTTGCTGCCTAAGATTGGGGCTGAAGCTTTGGCTATGTATGTGTGTGTCTTCTGATCTGGCCGGGGGTCCTCTGGAGTTCAAATTCTGGCTTGGCTTCTGGTGAGGTAGGAGGCTTCCACCCGATTTTCAGGGAGTTGGCCTAGTCTCTGGCGTCCAGAATGCTGACAAGCCTCTGATTTTCAGGATGCTGGCCTGGCCTCTGATGGGATAGAAGGCTTCCACCAGAGGTGTGTGTTGGGATATGGTGATGAGGACAGGAGGGGAAAGTGGAGTTATGCTGAGCAAGTACAGGCAGTGTGGGGTCTTTATTCCCTGGGGTTCAGGATGCTGGCCTGGCCTCGTGTTTTCAGGAAGCTGGCATTGCCTCTGATCATTTGTTATTTCTTATAACAGGAACAAATGGTGCTGGCAAAACTGGATATCAACATGTAGAAGGCTGCAAATAGATCCATATCTATCACCGTGCACAAAACTTAAGTCCAAGTGGATCAAGGACCTCAACATAAATCCAGCTACTCTGAACCTGCTAGAAGAGAAAGTAGGAAGTAGTCTTGAACGCATTGGCATAGGAGACCACTTCCTAAATAGAACACCAGTAGCACAGACTCTGAGAGAAACAATCAATCAATGGGACCTCTTGAAACTGAGAAGCTTTTGTAGAGCAAAGGATATGGTCAACAAGGCAAAGCGACAGCCTACAGAATGGGAAAAGATCTTCACCAACCCACATCTGACAGAAGACTGATATCCAGAATACATAAGGAACTCAAGAAATTAGACATCAAAATGCCCAACAGTCCAATTAAGAAATGGGCTATAGAACTAATCAGAGAATTCTCAACAGAGGAAACTCAAATGGCCGAAAGACATTTAAGGAATTGCTCAACATCCCTAATCATCAGGGAAATGCAAATCAAAACAACTCTGAGATACCACCTTATGCCTGTCAGAATGGCTAAGATCAAAAACACTGAAGACACCTTATGCTGGAGAGGATGTGGAGCTAGGGGAACTCTCCTCCACTGCTGGTGGGAATGCAAGCTTGTACAACCACTTTGGAATTCAATATGGCGCTTTCTTAGAAAATTGGGAATCCATCTCCCCCAAGATCCAGCTATACCACTCTTGGGCATATACCCAAGGAATGCTCAACCACACCATAAGAGCACTTGTTCAGCTATGTTCATATCAGCTATGTTCCTGGTCTATTTGATATTTGTAATAGCCAGAACATGGAAACAACCTACATGCCCTTCAACTGAAGAATGGATAAACAAAATGTGGTACATATACACAATGGAATACTACTCAGCAGAGAAAAACAATGACATCATGAGGTTTGCAGACAAATGGATGGATCTAGAAAAAATCATCCTGAGTGAGGTAACCCAGACTCAGAAAGACAAACATGGTATGTACTCACTCATAGCAGGATACTAGACATGAAACAAGGATGACTTGTCTGCTACTCACATCACCAGGGAGGCTACCTGGAAAACAGGACCCCAAGAAAGACACAGGGATCGCCCAATGACAGAGAAATGGAATGAGATCTACTTGAACAGCCTGGACATGAGTGGGGGTAGTGAAAGGCGAGGGTCGAGGGAAAGAGAGCTTGGGGGAGCAGGAGATCCCAGCTGGATCAACAACAGAGAGGGAGAACAAGGAATAGGAGACCATGGTAAATGAAGACCACATGAGAATAGGAAGAAGCAAAGTGCTAGAGAGGCCCACAGAAATCCACAAAGATACCCACACAACAGAATGCTGGCAATGGTCGAGAGACAGCCCGAACTGACCTACTCTGGTGATGGGATGGCCAAACACCCTAATTGTTGTGCTAGAAACCTCATCCAACTACTGAGGGATCTGGATGCAGAGATCCGTGACTAGGCCCTGGGTGGATCTCTGGGAGTCCAATTAGCGAGAATGAGGAGGGTTTATATGAGTGAGAATTGTTGAGACCAAGGTTGGATAAAGCACAGGGACAAATAGCCAAATGAATGGAAACACATGAACTATGAACCAAGGGCTGAGGGGTCCCCACTGGATCAGGCCCTCTGAATGGGTGAGACAGTTGATTGGCTTGATCTGTTTGGGAGGCATCCAGGCAGTGGGACCAGGTCCTGTGCTCATTGCATGAGTTGGCTGTTTGAAACCTGGTGCCTATGCAGGATTGTTTGGCTCGGCCTGGGAGGAGGGGACTAGACCTACCTGGACTGAGTCTACCAGGTTGACCTCAGTCTGTGGGGAAGGCTTTGCCCTGGAGGAGATGGGAATGGGGGGGGGGGGGGTTGGGGGGAAGGTGAGGGGGACGGGAGGGGGGGAGAACAAGGGAATCCGTGGCTGATATGTAGAACTGAATTGTATTGCAAAATAAATTAGTTTTACTTGAGCCAAAATGTATTATTTCCTGAATTTTATCAGAGTTGGCACTGAGTTTACTGATTTTTTAAAAATTATTTTTAACTCTCATTGATTGTTGTTAGTGTTCGTTATGTCTTTCATCCTGCTTGCTGTTAGCCAAATTCTCCTTGCTTTTGCTTGTTCCCTATATTGGAAATTTAAAATTTTATTTACACTTTTCTTCTTTCCTGGTCTCTTTGATATTATTATCTCTTTCTATGAACTGTTTTGATTATCTATAATATATTTAATGCTACAAATCTCTTTCATTCATATTCAGTATAGCACTTGAGTTTAGCAGAGCAATATGACAACAGAAGGAACTCAAGGGGATGTAACTAGGAAAACTAGAAAAAGTCAAAGTATCTTTATTTGCAGATAATATGATTTTATCCATAAATGATCCTAAAAACCCCACAAGGAAACTTTTACAGCTGAAAAATAATTTTAGCAAAGTATAGGATAAAAATTAACACACAAAAATCAATAGTCTTCCTATATACAAAGGACAAGCAGACTGAGAAATAAATCAGGGAAACAATGCCTCTCATGTAGCCTCAAAAAATATCCTGGGATAACACCAATAAAGCAAGTGAAAAACATATAATAATTTTAAGACATTGAAGAAAGAAATTGAAGAAGAGAGCAGAAGACATAAGACTCTCCCATGCTCGTGGATCAATAGGATTAATATAGTGAAAATGGTCCTCCTACCAAAACCAATCTATAGATTCAATGGAATCTCCATCAAAATTCCAACACACTTCTTCACATAAATTGAAAGAACAATTATCACCTTCATATAGAAACACAAAAGATAGTTTAGAAAAAATCTTGAATAATGAAGAACTGTAAGAGGTATTACCATCCCAGATTTCAAGTTGTATTAGAGAGCTATGGTAACATAAATAACATGGTATTGGCATAAAAATAGACACATTGATCAATGTACTAAAATTCAAACTGAGACGTAAGTCCACAAACCTTTAGACATTGTGTTTTTGACAAAGAAGCCAAAAATACACACTGGACAACATCTTCAATAAATGGTTATTTTTCAAGTATTGCTTTGATGTTTATCTGAGATAATTTAATATTTTTTATTTAACTTGTACCCAATTATCTTTAAAATGAATGCACTTGGTGTGCACTGGCACACATCCGTAACACCAACTACTGTGGAGGCTATGGTGGGAGGGTTATTTGAAGCCAGAAATTTGAAATCAGCAGGACCCTTTATAAGAAACAAAATCAAAACAGTACAAAAAATAAATGCAAGAATGGTGTGTGCATAACTTATTTGAACATTAAACCATTTAGTCATTGAAGTGAAATTAGGACATGACATTTGAGGTAGCTCTTGGTTCAATCAAATATATCTTCTTATATCTTTGGATCATTCCAGTTTTCTGTGATCATACTTCTGCTAGCCATGCCGATTTCCTTATATTAGTTGCTATTTTATTTTGCCACAAAGTTCACGATTTTCAACTTCCTTTACTTTTAGAAGAAATACTTTTCTTTAAGTCAGTTTGTCAACAAAATATTCAATACTCATTATTGTTGTGAATCAATACTTTTGATTTTTTTGAACAAAGTTAATTAGAACCAATTCTTTATGTTCTTATAATAAAAGATCACTTTCACCTAAAATTCAAGAGAAACATGAATGCATTCTATCATCATCCTTAAACAACTCTCAATCAAACTAATGGTATTTTAAATTGAATGAAAATCTCATGGGATAATAAGATACTTAAATTTGTTCATATGTCTTATATGTTAATGAAATGGTGACAATAATAACCCTATTGATTAATTTTTAGCATTTAATTTGGATACTTAGAACTTATGGGTAATGAAGAAATAATTATCAAAATATTGTCTCATCAAGATGAAAAACATTCTAATTTAAATTTAATCAAACAAGTTGAAAGGAATTCCTAGGGAATGAGATGATATATCTCTTTTGTGAAGAATAAAATCTTCCTTCTTTCTGTGTCTAGTAATGCTCTAGCTAGACCATGAAATTCAAGAGAAGACTCGAGGAAACATGGTTTTAGCAGCATAATGAAAGAGCACAGCTTTTACTTAAGGACCTATAATTATAAAGACCTATAATCATCCTTCTAAATCAGGATAGGGAATTCTCAGCACCTCGCAGTAATTATCAGGGAGTCTAAAAGAGCTAAGAACACCTGGACACTCCAAGAATGTGCATGATCTGAGGCAAGGTCAGCTTCGTGGGCATATGATGTACATAGTTCCAAAGGTTAAAGATTCAGAAGAAGCCTATCTTAGCCTCAGTGTTCTATTTTAACTTTCTTGAAATTCTTAATAATTTAAAACATGGAGTTAGAAACATTTCATTTTTCTCAGGACCCTGAAAATGTATACCCGGTGCTGACCCAGTAACAACTGGGAGAGTAATATTTGAATGAGGTATCTGAATAGTAAAAAAAAAAAAAAAAAAAAAAAAAAAAAAAAAAAAAAAAAAAAAAAAATCATGCTAGCATCCTTGTCAGTAGGGTACACTGAGCAGAACAGAGAAAACAATAAAACCTGTTTTAAATGAATTTTTCAGTTAGCTTTCAAGAGCAGTATTTTCAAAACATTTGTAATTTCCCGCTTCTGTCATTATAGTAAGAATATAAAAATACATTCCTGCTGTACAGGTTTTATAGTCATTAAAAAGTTCTATTTTATACTGTATTACTATAAAACTGTTACTTTTCATCATTGTCCAATAGTCTAAATAAAAAGGAGAGATGTGTATAGTTTGTAAAATTTTAATAGATAAAAAGGAAAAGGAAATTAAATTTAATAATTGTGTTTTAATTTAACTAATATTTTAAAATATTATTTCTACAAGACATTAATGAAAAATATGTGACACTATATACTTTTTCTGTCTTTGAAATCTGGTACGTATTTTGAAATCTCAGTATCTCAATTTGTACTAACCACAGAATAACCATGTTTGGTTAATTGCTATGTCTTCAATAATAGTTTTATATGTTTTAAACCACATAAATTACAGGTAAGTTTAAAAAAAAGACAAGTTCTAAGTTCCAATATCTTAATATCCTGTACCCTAATAGATGCCCTTGAATGTCTCCTGTGGTATATCGATTTCACGCTGAAAATTGTGATCTACAACTATGATTAGATTTGCCATGTTTCTCAGAATGGGAATTCTAAAAGATTCTAAAAGATGAAATGGTTATATTTTTGATGCCATGATTAATATTGTTAGAGAAAGGAATATAAACTCTATTGATAGGAATATAATAAGTTTTATCATTTAAAAATAATGCATGACCATCCTGTTCCCTTATGTTCTCATCCCCCATGCCCTACCCTCTATTGCCCCCCCACCCCTAATTTACTCTTGAGATCTCATCTGTTTCCCCTTACCAAGAGGATCCATGTGTCCCTGTTAGGTTCTCCTTGTTTCCTAGCTTCTTTGGAGCTCTGGGTTGTAGCCTGATTATCCTTTTTTTTTTTTAACATCTAGTATCCACTTATGAGTGAATACATGTTAGGTCTTCCTTGTTTCCTAGCTTCTTTGGAGCTCTGGGTTGTAGCCTGATTATCCTTTTTTTTTTACATCTAGTGTCCACTTATGAGTAAATACATACCATGATTGTCTTTCTGAGTCTGGGTTACCTCACTCAGGATGATATTTTCTAGTTCTATCCACTTGCCTGCAAATTTCATGATGTCATTGTTTTTTACAGCTGAGTAATACTCCATTGTGTATATATACCACATTTTCTTTATCCATTCTTTGGTTGAGGGGCATGTAGGTTTTTTCCAGGTTCTGGCTATTATGAATAATGTTGTTATGGAAATCTATAGAGACAACTGAACCAAGCTTGTAGGAACTCACAAACTTTAGACCAACAGCTGTGGAACCTACATGGGGCCAGACTAGGTCTTCTGTATACAGGAGACAGTTGTGTAGCTTGGTATGTTTGAGGGATCAGGATTTATCCCTGGCTCATGAGCTGACTTTCTGGAGCCCATTATCTATGTCGGACACCTTGCTCACCCTTGATGCAGGGAGTAGAGGCTTGGTCCTTCCTCATCTAAATATACCTGGCTTTGTTGACTCCCCATGGGAGGTCTTACCCTTTTGGAGGAGGGAATGGGGGATGGATGGTGAGGAGTGGGAGGAGGGATGAGGGGGGTACTTTGTGGTTGGTATGTAAAATGAACAAAATTTTTTAAATAAAAAGGAACAGCGCATGAGATGTAGTTTTTGAGAAAATACAATCTCAATTTTTATGAATGACTGAATCTTAAGCAAACTACTGCACTGACCAAACTACTGCATAGTGTCCCATACTTATGGACATTCTTCCTTGAGAAACTCAGAATAAATGCAAGAAAACTGGAACAGTAACTAGGACCCACTTGGTTCATGGAAAACTTCTTTTGAAAACAGTATAGAGCTCAAATGTTTTCTCATTGTCTTTCTTCCAAGCAGGAACAAAATGTGGTCAAAATTGGGCTTTAAAAGTAGAATTTTCTCTCTGTAGACCAGGCTGGCCTTGAACCCACAGAGTCTGCCTCCTGAGTGTTGGGATTAAAGGCATGCACCACCACCACCTGGCTACAAACCAGAACAATGAATGATTCATTGCAATGAACACTTACAAGTAAAGATATATGGACTAAAGGATATACTGTGTGACTCCACCCTGAGACTTTTTTATTTATTTTTCTTTTTATATGTTAGTTTGTTTGCTTGAGTTTTTGTTCGTTTGTTTTCTTTTAAATTTTATTTTATTTTGGGGGAAGTTTGCAAAGTCAGAGGGCAGATATGAAGGGATGGGGAGATGAA